GATCCTGGCCAGCAACAGCGTGGGCCCGATGGGCCGCTGCCCGCCATCGGGCTTCGGCAAGAACGCCATGATCACGGTCCACAGCTCGCCGCAGTAGGGAGCGCGCTCCCAGGAGTTGAGCAGACTGGCGAGCCTGGCCAGAATGTCCCCCCCCACCTCCAGCAGCAAGCGCGGGTGGAAATTGTCCCAGCCGAGGCCCGTGTGCCTGGAGAACTTGCGCGCCGCGAGCTTGATGTCGCCCACCGTGATCGGCGGCAGCGCCCACTCGCCAACGTGCCAAAGGCCTGGGTGCTCCTGGCCGCTCCGACTGGGATCAGACCAGCGGGTGGGTGGGTGGGTGGGTGGGGGGGGGGGGGGGGCAGTCGGCCAGCACCCTCTCCAGAGCAGGCTGGCCCACCAGAGCATGGTCCACCGTGCCTGCCTCAAGGACGGGGTTGGGCTCTCCGTGGGTTTTCTTGATGTCCTTGTGGGCCAGCGAACCTTGACGTTCGAAGGCCTGCTCCGAGAAGCCGTCCCACTTGAGCTTGCTGGCCTTAGCATCCTCCTTGGTGTGCTTAGCCACAACCTGCTCCACCACGAGTAAGAAGTTGAAGCCCAACTCAGTCTGGAGGCCAATCTCGCCCCAGAAACTCAATAACACCATGCCGTCGAACATCGTGATGGACTGCTCCTGGAACTTGACATTCAAGCGGCTGGCTGACTTGACAAGCTGCTGCGCTCGCCTGGCCCTGTAGCAGTCGGGCAGGTCGTTGGGCCCGATGGGTCCCAAGTCCCACCTTCTCTTGGACAGGTGGCGCAGCGACAGCCAGAGGTCGGTGACCCCTGATGCTCGATCAAAACGTCTCTCCTGGACTTTGGCCTCCAGAGGAACTGTGGCCGTCCTGAGGCCCTTGGACCTGCCCTTGTAGTACCGAGCCTCACTGCTGGGCATTCCATGCAGAGCCTGCAGTGCCTCCTCAGCCTGATCAAACCAGCCCTTGACTACTCCCTCAAGGCCTGAGCCAGGCGGTGGCCAGGGGAGGGTGGCCACTAGCAGGTCGCGCCTGGTCCTGGCCTCCTCATCGGCCTCGAACTCCAGCCCAAAACCCTTCGGCGCGCGCTGCGTCTGGATCATGCGCCGCTTCCAGCAGCCACGTAACACGAGCGACACGACCTGGTGCGGGCCGCTGGGGGTGTCCGTGTGGCACTTGATGGAGCCCACAAGGTCCTCAAGCGCTCGCGAGATGACGAAGTAATCGTACTCATCATCGTTGCATGTGGCCAACCCAGGGGCCAGGACAGCTCCTCCCATGAACTCAGGCCAACCTGAGGTTGCCAACTCGCTGGCCTCAATGTTCCAGTCACCACGAATGATGAACAAAAAAAGGCTCGTCCAAGTTCGCGCACCACGCGTGGATGTCTTCCAGCAGCTGCCTGCTGGGCCCCTGGAGCCCTATCGAGTCCTCGAGGTACACCGAGATCATGGCAATCGTGGTGCCCTCGCCCACGGAGGCTCGGCGAGCAATGAACCCATGTGGGGCCCCATCCCAGGGCTGGAGGTATCTCGCGGTGCCCAGCAACGTCGAGGAGACGATTGCCACTCCCGACGAGACTGCCGTGGCGGCATCTCCAGTCCGCAGGACCCCTGAGGCCGCGAGTCGGTGGCCTCCTCGGCTGGCCCAACCATGGGCCTGCTCCACCGCCGTATTAGATGTGAAGCGCGTCTCCTGGACGAACATCGCGTGCGGGGCCATCCCCTTCTTCCTCACCCACTCGTGGACACTGGAGGCCGTGTTCTACGTGTTGCCGTTGTAGGTGCACACTGTAAGCTTACCCTCGAGCTGCCCCGGCGCAGGCACCAGAGCACCCTGGTCGGGAAGCAGGCGATCCAGCTGCAGCAACATCATTTCGCCCAGCCCAGCCTGGGCCCCGAGACGCTCCCTCCTTTTAGGAGGAGGAGGAGGAGGAGGAGGAGGAGGAGGAGGAGGAGGAGGAGGAGGAGGAGGAGGAGGAGGAGGAGGAGGAGGAGGGGGGGGGGGAGGAGGAGGAGGGAGGAGGGGGAGGAGGAGGAGGAGGAGGAGGAGGAGGAGGAGGAGGAGGAGGAGGAGGAGGAGGAGGAGGAGGAGGAGGAGGAGGAGGAGGAGAGGAGGAGGAGGAGGAGGAGGAGGAGGAGGAGGAGGAGGAGGAGGAGGGGGGGCATTGCATGCACCCAACGGCACAGATCGTCCAGATTCGACGAGGCTCCGTCCGAGTAGCGCGCTATGCTCCAACCCTCGGCACATCCAACCCTTCAGCGCCCTGGCGCTGTGAGGGTGAACATTGGAGAGGCTGCCCCAGAGGGAGGATCATCCAGCTGGAATCGGCGACATCGCCGATACATCGGCGATAGGCCTCCGATAGCGAAACCGCACGATCCTGGGCGGGGTGGTGTTATCGGGCCCGCCTCGGCGACCAGAGGGCGAGATGCGGCGCGATCCTCCGACCCCATCTATCGGGACCCCCATATGTGGGGAAACGAAAGAGCACCGATACCGCCACTCCCAAGGCCTCTCCCAGGGTGCGCGCTGACCTGTATTTCGAGACGAATCCAGCAGTGGCGACGAGGGCCTTCCAGGAGGCACCAAAACATGAAAACAAGAGAAGGTTAGCAATACGGGACCTAGTCCTCCTCCGGGTACCCCCATCGTGGAGGCCCTATCCACTCAAATCCTCAACGTCATGTTTTCTTAACGTCGACCCATTCCAAGGAATCAGTTTTTCATCCCGACAGGCTCTTTGACGGCCCCGAACAGAGCCCCCAGAGGCCGAAACTTTCGAAAGTCCTTCCGTCGCGATGTTGTCATGACTGGAGGGGGCCTGGAGTAATCCGACCATCTCGGAGGCCCAGATCGTCGCCCCGGATTAGCCACGCGCAGAGGGGGGGCAAGGCTTAGTGGGCCCTGGAAACGACAGGGCCGTTTTTTAACCGGTTCCGTTTTGCCGTTTTTGTTGCCGGTTCCGACGCCGTTTTTGTTACCGGTTCCGTCGCCGCTCTTTTTCGGGTTCCCGCTCCGGTTCCAATCCGGGAGCCGTTTTTGTTGCCGTTTCCGGTCGCTGGTTTTGTTGCGTCTTCCATTTTCAAGGGGCACTTTTTCGGAAACGGTGAAAAAACGGCCCTGTTGTTTCCGGGGCCCACTAAGGGGCAGGGGGAGGGGAAGCACCCCTGCATCTTGGCAGGCGCGTGCCCTGTCTATATAAATGCAGGGCGGGCGCCTTCTATAGGGAGCAGTCTCCTTCTAAGCAGCCTTCCCCCCTGCCCCTTGCCGTACCCCCCGTCCCGGATCCCCGACGTCATGAAATTGTTTCAACGTTGAAGGGGCCCTGGGACACACAAATAAATAGACACAAATAACACGATTCCCCATAGTTGCCAATATTTTCTGGGTTTTTGTCTTCCCCCCACTTCCCATATTTTCCCATATTTTCTGAGAATCGACGTTTAATCGTGTCTGTGCTTTTTTTCCCTCCTGAAACGTCAGACATCCACAGGTCTCGATACATGCCGTGGGCGGCGCCGGAGACGCCCCCCAGGCGGGGCCAGCGCGGATCCAAGCAATATCCGCGCGCAGCGCCAAGAGCATGTGTCCATGGAGTTGTGTCTTCCTCGCGTTTTTGTTGAGGCTCCCGAGACCCGATGATGAGGGCTCTAGGAGGCCGGACCATTTGTTTTCATAACTCGAGGGGGTCCGGACCCCCCTGATGCGCGCCGCCAGCCGAAGGCTGGCCTTCCTCCACGTCGTCGCAGCACGACCCAGGACAAGAACGACGACGTCGAAGACGACGAGGACGAGGACGAGGAGGACGAGGACAACGAGGAAGACGACGACGAGAACGACCACGACGACGAGAACGGTGACGAAAACGATGACGGGAACGACGACGAGGACGACGACGACGACGACGACGACGAGAACGACGACGAGGACGACGACGACGACGACGACGACGGCGAGGACGACGAGGACGACGAGGCGCGCCGCCAACCCGAGGCTGGCCCTCTCCTCCCCAGACATGCGACGTCCTGATTCTTTCAGGACGGCGTCCCCGGAAGTCCGGACCCCTCCCCTGGGGCCAGTTTTTCATCCTGCGTCGTCTTCTGACGGCCCCGGGGCCCAGCGAAGGCCCCCAGGGGCCGAAAATACGGAAACACCTGCCGTCCTCCTCCTCCTCGTCCTCATCCTCATCCTCATCCTCATCCTCATCCTTATCCTCCTCCTCCTCCTCCTCATCCTTCATCATCATCCTCATCATCCTCATCATCCTCATCATCATCATCATCATCATCATCATCATCATCATCCTCATCCTCATCCTCATCCTCATCCTCATCCTCATCCTCATCCTCATCCTCATCCTCATCCTCATCCTCATCCTCATCCTCATCATCAGCATCATCATCATCATCATCATCCTCATCCTCATCCTCATCCTCATCCTCATCATCCTCTCCTCCTCCTCCTCTCCTCATCCTCATCCTCATTCATCATCATCATCATCATCATCATCATCATCATTCATCATCATCATCATCATCATCATCATCATCATCATCATCATCATCATCATCATCATCATCATCATCATCATCATCATCATCATCATCATCATCATCATCATCATCATCATCATCATCATCATCATCATCATCTTCATCTGATTTTCTTCCACGACGCGATCATGCCTGGGCCAACTTCGCCGCAATTGGGGATCTTCTGACCCGGGTCAATCCAGACCCGGGTCAGCAGGAATCCAAAAACTGCAATGCAGGACATAAAAACTGCAGCGCGGGTCTTCGCAAACCCGTGTCAGCCAATATGCGCGGCCGCCTCGCGGCCACGAGCGGCTCGCTGACCCGGGTCAGCCAGGGGGGGTCTTCGCAGGATCCTGCAGGAGCCGGTGCCCTGGCTGACCCCTGTTTGCGTTGACCCCCGTCTCGAGGCTCCCGACGCAGCACCGCCCCCCCCCCCCCGGAGGGCCGCCGCCTGCCGCCCCAGGCGGCCGCTCCAGGGGCCGGAGGGGCACGCAGCTCCTGCCCGCTGCCGGCGTCGTCGCCCTTCGGCGGCGTCGTCGCCGCCGCTCGTCGTCGTCTTCGTCGTCGTCGTCGTCGTCGTCGTCGCCGCCGTCGTCGCCGTTCGTCGTCGTCGTCGTCGCCGTTCGTCGTCGTCGTCGTCGTCGTCGTCGTCGTCGTCGTCGTCGTCGTCGTCGTCGTCGTTCGGCGGCGAGCGCGGGGCTCAAGACGAGGCCAGGGCGAGGATGCGTTCGGGTGGGGATGCACCGAGCGTCTCTGCGATCCGGCGGTTCTGGAGGCAGTCCCGGGCGCCGCGGCCTCCTCGGGGCGCTCCCGACCGCGCTCGGGACCGCTCCAGAACGGAGTCGGGAAAACGCAGAGGTATACCGATACCGCTACTCCCCGGACCTCTCCCGGGTTGCGTTCTGACTAGAATTTCGAGGCGAACCCAGCGGTGGCAACGAGGGCCTCCGAGGAGGCCCTCAAAAAGGGGAGAGCGAGGGAACGGTAGATAGGGGGCCAGCTGCGAACCCTACCCCTACCCCCACGATTTCTGAGGGGGAGGGTGGGGTTCACTTCGTTCGGGAGCTCCCGAGCGAGGTGAACCCCACCCTCCCGCAGAAATCGTGGGGGGCAGGGGTAGGGTTCGCACGTGGCCCCCCAGGTATGGGCAATTACCTTGTCCTCCTCTGAGTTCTCCTCGTCCTGGCCCCGCCCGAGGGCTCGTCGAGCCTTCGGGCGTCCTCGCCGCGCCTCTCGGCGGCGTTTCTTTCCAGCCTCTTGGGAGGCTGGCCGGGCAGCTGCGCCGTCGCTCGCGAGGGCGCTCCGGGGGCTGCCCGGGGCGTGCCGGCACGGCCGCCTGAGGCCCGAGCGGTGCGCCCCCGGCTAAGAACTCGGGGCGGGGAAGCGCACCCCGGCGAAACAGGTCCCGGCGAAACAAGGCGAAACGAGCCCCAGCGCATCGAGCGCCGCGGCGAAGCGAGACTCCAGCGAAAACGAGCCTCTCGAGACTCCGACGAAACGAGACTCCGGCGGAGCGAGACTGCGAGCCCCGGCGAAGCGAGACGGGCGAACCATGCCCTGGCGAACCGCGCCTCGGCTCAGGTCGGGCATGTGTCCCCCTTCAGGCGGATCTTGGGCGAAAAATTACAAATACTCACAACAAATACCCCGAATAGTCTAAAATGAAAAAATCGTCCGCAGACTATTGTTTGACTATGTTTGGCTACTCCTCCTGTAGCTGGGCAGGCCCGACTGGAGCCTCGGCGAAACGAGCGCTGGGCGACTCGAGTCGGGCGCACCGAGCCCCGGGCGAGGCGAGCACCCGCGACCCAGGCCAGAGGGCGAAGCGAGGCCCGGCGAAGCAAGACCTCTGGCGAAGCAAGACTCTGGCGCATCGAGTCCGCGCCGTCGGTTCACGGAGGGGCAGAATCCCCAGACCCCCTCGGGCAAGGAAAAATCATGACGGAAGGTGTTTCGCCATCTTCGGCCTGTGAGGGCCCTCGCCGGACCTTCAAAAAACAACCCAGGATGACAGACCGGTCCCAGGGAATAATTAGGTCGAAACCTCGGGGTGTCGACGCCATGAAAAAATCACGGCGTCGGGGGTCTGGGGATCGGACGGGGGGGAATGCTGTGCGCCTTTCGTGCCCCGCTTGGGCCCCGGAAGGCCCTTCACGGCCCCGAAGGTGCACCCTTCGCCCCCCTCCCCCGTGGGCCGCCCCCCTCTGTGCAGCGCCCGACACACCTGCTCCTCCGCCTTCCGGGGAGATGCGAGGCCCACGGGCGGATTCTAATATGGGGGGTGGCCCAAATGGGGGGTGAAGAGAAAGGCTCCGAAAGGCCCCTGGAGGGCTCCTTGTGGATCCCCTCTGGCTCCAAAAGGAGCCCTAAAGTTAGAGCCCTTTCTTTACCCCCCCCCCCAGTTGGGCCACCCCGACTACCACCCGCCCGAAGCCCTCGGGCCCGATCTGCTTCGGCTCCGCTCCCAATACCCCCGACGTCGTGACTTTTTTGATATACGTCGAACCCAAAGAGCTCTCGACCGCTTCCTCCGGGACTGGTTCCTCACCCCATGCGTCGGTTTGTGTTGACGGTCTCGAGGCCCCGGGAAGGACCCCCATAGGCCGAACATATAGAAAAGCTACCCGTCGTGATTTTGTTCACGACAAGAGGGGCGAGGGAGGAGGGAGAGGACGAGGAGGAGGAGGAGGAGGAGGAGGAGGAGGCGACAGAAGAGGAGGAGAGGAGGAGGAGAGAGGAGAAGCGGGAGGAGGAGGAGGAGGAGAAGGAGGAGGACGAGGAGGAGGAGGAGGGGGAAAGGAAGATGGCGGGGATCGGGGCGGGGCCGCGGTTCCCCCCCCCCCCCTGGCGATCCTCCTCGAGCGCCTCGCGATCGCCGCGGAGCTGCAGCAGCTGCGGCCGGAGGCGCTCCACGACCTCTCGGGCGGTGGGCGATACATGCCACTGCGGCGGCGCCCCGCATACAAGCGGCGAGCACATCTTGGAGGTCGCTGGGGGAACGTGGTCTCCAGACCCCCTCGCGACGTGAAAAACTCACGACGGGCGGTTCCTCCCTATTTTCGGCCCCTTGGGGCCCTCGCCGGGCCCCGGGGCCGTCGAAGAACGACTCAGGATGAAAAACCGGCCCTGAGGAAAGGGTCTGGACTTGTGGGGACGCCGACCTGAAATAAATCAGGACGTCGCATGTTGGGGGTTGCCTCCAGCGCCAGATCCCAGAGCGCTCGGCCCGCGCGCTTGATCCGTCGACAGCAGCCCTGACGACCCCCATCCGAGAGAAGCTCAGATCGTAGGTTTGCTCTGGCCGACGATTGGGCTGCTTAGGTTTGTTATCACCCTGCGAGAGCATTACCCCCTCCTCCGTCGCCCCAGAAGCACGGGTCGCGTTCGCTGCCCCTCAGCGAGCTTCAACACATGTCCGTCTCCGCGCCACCGCGGCCCGGATTCCAGGGCGCGATCCCGCGCATACGCGGTCGCACGGATACGTTCCGCGCGGTCCAGGGGCCCGGCCCGCGAGGCCGCGGAGACGGATCTGCTTTTTCCGCCCACGAGTCCAGCCGACAGCGCGCCAACTCGGCTGCGCGCGGCAGGCGCGGGTGACCACGGCTCGGAAAAGTGGTCTGGCTGCCCCTTCCTCTGGACACAAGAGAAGCACCACGGGAGGTGGTGAGCCACCTTCGGCCTACCGGGGACCCTCAAAGGCAATGGCACCATCATAACAAGACTCGAGATGGAAAACCAGAACCAAGGAAGGTGTCAGGATCTCTGCGGGTCCACGTTCTGGACACGTCCAGGCTTAGGTCTGGCGTGTCCCCCATACAGGCGGATTTTTGATGACAAATAAAACATATTGAAACAAGTATGCAAGCATACTCGAAACATGCTCAACAGATCATCCCAAGACTATTGTTTAAATACTTTTAAATATTCCTCCTGTGGAGCGACAGGCCCGACTTCAATCAAGACGTCGGAGTTCTGGGTGGTCTTCGAGGGGTGCTCGTGGATCGGTGCCCGAGCGGGACTTCGCCGCCCTGGGACTGCTCGCCGGGAGCATCCGCCGCAGCGGCACCCCGCTGACAGCGCATCGCAGGTGGGTGTCAGACGTGCACCAAAACTCGTCCTTAGAGGCCTCCCAGATGGTGTCGGAGTAGATGGGGTCGGAGGATCGCGCCGCATCACCGATGCATCGGTGATGCGTCGGCGATGCATGGGCGATGCACCAACGATTTGGCATGGCAAGCCTAATACAGGTTCTGCCCGCCACTTGTCACAAAGCGTTCGTGCTGAACCCGAAACAAGGTTGCGACAAAAAACACGTGGGTCATGGGGCCGAGGAGGGTCGGGGTGAACAGAAGAACCCCGGGTAGCAGCCCAAAAATTGCCGCACGCGCATGCTTTTACATTCATTTTGGGCATTGGCAGAACTGGGTTTAGTGGGACTTGGTTTAGTGATGCGTACTGGGGGACGCCCCCCCTCCCCCGCCCCGTTCCACTAACCAGAACTGCCGTCACCCGAAAAAACACCAACTGCGGCAAACCTGGTTCAGTGATTCTGGCAAATTCAATGACTCCAGGGCCCTACCACTAACCGGGTCCCCTTACCTGGGGTTCTGGCTATACCCGATGTATGCTTGCTTGAATTTACAGTAGTACTTGCACTGCCTCAGGCTGGCCAGCGCAGTCTGTACCAGCCTATCTGCTCCATGCTACACAAGTCGCCTGTTGTTTTGAACACTTGCTGCTCGGTGCTGCAGAAGCTTGACTACACATGGTGGGAGGGGGTGGATGACAAGAGGATGCCGAGTGGCGTGCGCATGCTCCGTTGCATTCCTCTGCCGCCTTTCTGTCTACCCGCTGCGCACGCCATTCCGCGGCGACCTTTTCCGGTGTGAACGCAACAGGCCATGCCTCATGTCCGCTCAACGTCAGCACGGAGAAAGAAGGAAGCGGACGACAGGACAAAACATCCGCATGAGGGGGTCAACTTCAATACGCCCGCTAAGGTGCGGTGCTAAGGTGCTGTGTGATTGTTATGCAGCAAGGGCTCCACAGCCCTTCGACATCTTATCGAGGGAACTGCCAAGGCCTGCGCAGAGGCGTGCACGCTGCCCTCCTCACCCCAAGCCCTCACCTCCCCCCCTCCACTACCACGAGGAAGCGGAGGAGGAGGAGGAGGAGGAGGAGGAGGAGGAGGAGGAGGAGGAGGAGGAAGGGCAGACTCTAAGCCAAGGACGTCGTATACATACCTGCATTTCGGTGCGGCGCGGGGCGCGGCTCTCTCCGCGCTCTCGCGTCGACCCCCCCCAGGGAGAGCACCTGGGCACAACAAAGAACCACGACCACAACGAATGACGAACGAACGACACACATCCATACTCCAGATCCTTCAACAAGCACCCCCCCCGTGCCAACCTGTCCGACGCCCCTTGCCCGCCCCCCACGCGCCCCAAACCCACCCCCTCTCGCTCCCCAACCTCCCCCCCCCCCCCCGAAGGACAGCGGTTGCCTACCCCGCCACGCGATCCACCCCCTGACGCTTATTCAGAGACCTGGAGTACCCATAGGGAGGTCGGAGGGAGGAGGACTGGCTATAGGTGTGGGTAAGGGTGCGGGCTAGCCCTGGGGAGGCTCCCGCTCAAGCGGGGGACCCTCCTCCGACAGGACGCACCCACAGCCCCGGCCGATCCCCCATGGGATGGTTGGGAAACATTACCCTGGCGACGTACCGAGCCCCTGCGGAATGCGGGGCAGGAGTAGCTTGGGAGAGTGGACGAGAAGGCGGCGACGTGACATGGACGCATATACTTCTACGAGCGGCATTCGGAAGGTTCGCAGGTCCCCAATCAAGGGAAAACGATGAGTAACTAAGTGAACCCCTGAGTCACTAAGGTAGACGCAAGGTCCAAAAGGAGACTGTGGGCAAGGGGTTTGAGACGTCGGCGGGGCAGCAACAACGTGACATGGCCACCCAGGGACGGCGAGGTCCCGCTCAGGTCTGCACAGTGCCTTACTCCACTAGACCCACCGGCAGCCTTCGAAAGCGGCCAGCCCACCAGCAGCCCTCGAAAGTGGCAACGGTTTCGCATATCGCAGCCCCCCAGGGACGGCGAGGTCCACCTCAGGTCCGCGCGGTGCCTCACTCCGCTGGACCCACCGGCAGCCCCCCAGGGGCGGCGAGGTCTACCTCAGGTCTGCGCTCCGCTGGATCCACCAGCAGCCCTCCAAAGTGGCGACGGTTTCGCAGATCGCAGCCCCCCAGGGACGGCGAGGTCTACCTCAGGTCCGCGCGGCGCCTCACTCCGCTGCACCGACCAGCAGCCCTCGAAAGTGGCAACGGTTTCGCATATCGCAGCCCACCAGGGACGGCAAGGTATACCACGAGTCCTCGCGGTGCCCCACTCCGCAGGATCCACCAGCAGCCCTCGGAAGTGGCGACGGTTTTTGCAGATCGCAGCCCCCCAGGGACGGCGAGGTCTCGCTCAGGTCTGCGCGGTGCCTCACTCCGCTGGACCCACCGGCAGCCCTCGAAAGTGGCAACGGTTTCGCATATCGCAGCCCCCCAGGGACGGCGAGGTCTACCTCAGGTCCGCGCGGCGCCTCACTCCGCTGGATCCACCGGCAGCCCTCGAAAGTGACCACAATTTCGTCGATCGCAGCCCCCCCCCAAGGACGGCGAGGTCTACCTCAGGCCTGCGCGGTGCCTCACCCAAATGGACCCACAGGCAGCCCTCGAAAGTGGCGACGGTTTCGCAGTTCGCAGCCCACCAGGGACGGCGAGGTCTGTCACAGGTCCGCGCGGTGCCTCACCCAAATGGACCCACCAGCAGCCCTCGAAAGTGGCAACGGTTTTGCAGTTCGCAGCCCCCCAGGGACGGCGAGGTCTACCTCAGGTCCGCGCGGCGCCTCACTCCGCTGGATCCACCGGCAGCCCTCGAAAGTGGCCACAATTTCGTCGATCGCAGCCCCCGCCCCAAGGATGGCGAGGTCTACCTCAGGCCTGCGCGGTGACTCACTCCGCTGGACCCACAGGCAGCCCTCGAACGTGGCGACGGTTTCGCAGATCGCAGCCCACCAGGGACGGCGAGGTCTGTCACAGGTCGGCGCGGTGCCTCACCCAAATGGACCCACCAGCAGCCCTCGAAAGTGGCGACGGTTTCGCAGATCGCAGCCGGGATCAGCGCGTGCGAGAAGGGCGAGCAGTGGCAGCGGGCGCTTGCGCTGCTGAGCGAGATGTGGGAGGCGAAACTGGAACCCGACGTCATCAGCTACAGCGCTGGGATCAGCGCGTGCGAGAAGGGCGAGCAGTGGCAGCGGGCGCTTGCGCTGCTGAGCGAGATGTGGGAGGCGAAGCTGGAGCCCAACGTCATCAGCTACAGCGCTGGGATCAGCGCGTGCGAGAAGGGCGAGCAGTGGCAGCGGGCGCTTGCGCTGCTGAGCGAGATGTGGGAGGCGAAGCTGGAGCCCGACGTCATCAGCTACAGCGCTGGGATCAGCGCGTGCGAGAACGGCGAGCAGTGGCAGCGAGCGCTGGCGCTGCTGAGCGAGATGTGGGAGGCGAAACTGGAACCCGACGTCATCAGCTACACCGCTGGGATCAGCGCGTGCGCGAAGGTCGAGCAGTGGCAGCCGGCGCTTGCGCTGCTGAGCGAGATGTGGGAGGCGAAACTGGAACCCGACGTCATCAGCTACAGCGCTGGGATCAGCGCGTGCGAGAAGGGCGAGCAGTGGCAACGGGCGCTTGCGCTGCTGAGCGAGATGTGGGAGGCGAAGCTGGAGCCCAACGTCATCAGCTACAGCGCTGGGATCAGCGCGTGCGCGAAATGCGAGCAGTGGCAGTGGGCGCTTGCGCTGCTGAGCGAGATGTGGGAGGCGAAACTGGAACCCGACGTCATCAGCTACAACGCTGGGATCAGCGCGTGCGCGAAATGCGAGCAGTGGCAGCGGGCGCTTGCGCTGCTGAGCGAGTTGCGGGAGGCGAAGCTGGAGTCCAATGCAGCCAGCTACAGCCCTGCGATCGTCGCTCTGCTCCGCAGACGCGATGCGACAGGCTAGTCGGCCACACCGCTGAGGAACAGCGCTTGAGTGAAAGGTGGTCAGTGGCCGCGGGCTCTGGCGCTGCTGAGCGAGATGTGGGAGGCGAAGCTGGAGCCCAACGTCATCTATACTACAATGCAGGGACCCGCGCGTGCGAGAAGGGCGATTCTGGTCAAAAAGCGTAGCAGGCCCAAGACACGCCAAGAGGGCCCCCAGAGGGCCCAAGACGCGCCAAGAGGGCCTCAAGAGGCCCCCAAGACGGCCCCAGAAGGCTCCGGGACGCCCCAAGATGGGCCCAAGACGCCGAAGATTGGGCCAAGACGGCCCCAGAGGCGGCCAAAATGCCCCAAGAGGCCTCCCAAGAGGCTCCCCAGCAGGGCCCCGAGCGGGAAAAATTGTCGATTTCCATTGTGTTGTTCGATGTTTCTCGCATTCTCCCCTTTTCGCCGTCCCTGCGCTCCAAGACTGCCCAAGAGGTCCCCAAGACCGCTCCAAGACCACCGACGAGGCCCGCAAGAGAGCCTCCAGACGGGCCAAGAGGACCCCCAGACGGTCCCAAGACGCCCCAAGACAGCCTAAGACGGCCCCCAAAGACGGCCCCTCAGAGGGCCCCGGGACGCCCCAAGATAGGCCCAAGACGCGCCAAGAGAGCCCCAAGAGGCCCCCAAGACGGCCCCAGAAGGCTCCGGGACGCCCCAAGATGGGCCCAAGACGCCGAAGATTGGGCCAAGACGGCCCCAGAGGCGGCCAAAATGCCCCAAGAGGCCTCCCAAGAGGCTTCCCAGCAGGGCCCCGAGCGGGAGAAATCGTCGACTTCCATTGTGTTTTTCGATGTTTCTCGCATTCTCCCCTTTTCGCCGTCCCTGCGCTCCAAGACGGCCCAAGAGGTCCCCAAGACCGCTCCAAGACCACCGACGAGGCCCGCAAGAGGGCCTCCAGACGGGCCAAGAGGGCCCCCAGACGATCCCAAGACGCCCCAAGACAGCCCAAGACGGCCCCAGAGGGCCCCGGGACGCCCCAAGATGGGCCCAAGACGCGCCAAGAGGGCCCCAAGAGGCCCCCCAGACGGCCCCAGAGGGCTCCGGGACGCCCCAAGATGGACCCGAGAGCCATATTGGACCGTCTTGGCCATTCGCGCCGCTCGGACCCCCGACATCTTGGGCAGCATTCGCCGTTCTCACCGCTTGAACGCCATCTTGAGCCATCTTGGCCATTCGCACCGCTCGGGCGCCCCGACGAATCCACGCTCTCCTCCAGGCATCTTGCCATCACCTCGGAGCCTTCGCCTTCCAGAGCCTCGCGGGCTCAAACGGCCCAGCTGTCAGCCGCGCGTGCAACCCACCGGAGCCGTCACGACACGAAAACGTCACCATGCCATGTCAAGTGGCCCCCAAAGGGGTCTGCAAGCACTTTTTCTTAGAAAAATTGTCCGCAGGGCCCTTTGGCGCCCAGAGCGAGCCTACAGTAAGCGATAGTGGCCCTCGGAGGCCCTCTGAGAGCCATCTTGGACCGTCTTGGCCATTCGCGCCGCTCGGACCCCCGACATCTTGGGCAGCATTCGCCGTTCTCACCGCTCTGAACGCCATCTTGAGCCATCTTGGCCATTCGCACCGCTCAGGCGCCCCGTCGAATCCACGCTCTCCTCCAGGCATCTTGCCATCACCTCGGAGCCTTCGCCTTCCAGAGCCTCGCGGGCTCAAACGGCCCAGCTGTCATACATGGCCACGTCCGGTGCCCCCCCCCCCAGGAGCCCGTTCCTCCGAGAATCATTCCAGAAAGATATCGTGGACGGAGTCCACGGGTCAGCCCTAGTCAGCTACAGCGCTGGGGTCAGCGCGTGCGCGAAGGGCGAGCAGTGGCAGCGGGCGCTTGCGCTGCTGAGCGAGTTGCGGGAGGCGAAGCTGGAGTCCAATGCAGCCAGCTACAGCCCTGCGATCGTCGCTCTGCTCCGCAGACGCGATGCGACAGGCTAGTCGGCCACACCGCTGAGGAACAGCGCTTGAGTGAAAGGTGGTCAGTGGCCGCGGGCTCTGGCGCTGTCGAACGAGATGTGGGAGGCGATGTTGGAATTCGGACGTTATCATAACTTTAGCGTTGTGATCACTGGGTGCAACAAATGACGAGCAGTGGCAGCCGACGCAGGCGCAGAGCCTCCTCCTCCACCTCCTCCTCCTCCTCCTCCTCCTCCAGGTGCAAGACAGTCTACCACAATATCGAGGTGCTGCATGCAGCCCTCGAGATCGAGGCAGGTTGAATGCTTAACTATTTTGTTCAGGTAACCGATGTACGTCGGCATGAGTTGCTTTAGGTGCTTCTGGCTGGAAGGCACCCCTCCCCCGCCCCCCGCGCTTGTTTGCCAAACTCCTTCGTCGCTTTAGGCTGCTGAGCTGTACCTTCCCAAATCGGGATGTTGCTAGGACGGTTCACTGAGGAACGTGAGCAAGTTATAGCTTAAAAGGAGATTTGCAGAAGGACATCTAACTCCAAGACTTGAAAATTGCTCGATTTATCGTTTGGCCTACTGCGCCAAGCCAGCTGAGCTTCGAATGACGGTCGATGTAGTTCGCAGTTCCCCCCGATTGCCATAGCGCAAATCCAGCTATCAGTACCGAAGCGAGGCGATGGTAAGTTTCACCCAGGAAGGTTGATCCAGTGCAAGGTATTGTGGTCGAATGTACGTTTACGGGTTTGTACCAAATATCGCATTGATAAGTTCTGTCGTTACCCAGGCAATTTGCGATGCTCTAGGCGGAGATGCTAAGTATGGAGCACCCTGTGAGAGTACATGGTGCACCTAAATGTGACAGAATGCACAGGGACAGATCACGATGATTACCGCAAAGCAGGATTCGGCCAGCTCATAGAGGCATCTAGCCAAGATTAACAAGCGGTGTGTGTGGTTACTCAGTTCATGACCCAACGTTCAACACCCGCCAGGCATAACACGACCTTGTAGTTTCGTCTGGCTCAGCCGAAGCAGCGATACGCCATCGAAGATACATTGCTTCTAGTCGGCCCATGCGGCAGTCTGCACCAAGGCATGGAGCCAAAAGCGGCGAGCCAAAAGCGGAGTGCAAGAGGAATGTCCTCACGAGACGATTTGGGGCAATCAGGCAATAAACATTGCAAATGCGCGGGTGGGGGAGTGAGAGCTTTCGACCGAGCTCCCTCTGGATACTTTGCAGCGGGCACGCCGCACAGCTTGAAGTTCAGCGCGCTTCCGAGCATTCTTGAACATCCCAGTGGACAAGGCGTGCGGGCGCAGTTAGCATCCCAAATTGCTGGAGCACGCAGACGTCGACATGAGGAGGATGAGAGGAGTGGGGGGAGGAGAGGGAGAGAGAGAGGATCTGGTGACCTTCCCCTCCCTCGCATCCCTTACCATGGCGTAGCTCTCCTCTCTAGTCGAGCAGTCGGATGTCGAGCAGCGCAATGATCCCGAGATGGTACGCGATGCATGGTAGAGCACGGCACAGCATGGCGAGAAGAACATCACGTCAGAGCGTAGCATGTCAGAGCATGGCGTGGCATTGCGTTGTGAATCGCTACATCACAAAGCATTAAAACGCAAAGCATGGCATCAGAGAGCAGCACAAAACACAACGCCGCAGTACGTGTCATGCGCTGCAGCGGTAGCATCAGTGAGAAGGGCCAAACACATTGAAATTGGCCGAGCACACGGACCCAGCGCCAAGGATGAGACATGGACGCCATTTTGGAAGAGCCAGAAGTGCAGAAATTCAGCTAAAGATGAAGGGAGATCGCCTTTCTGGAAAGACAGGCAACATCTGGATTAAACATCGCATAGGCAAACACAGCTAGTGCACACCATGTGTGGAACAAACTATACGCGCCGGGGGAGCGAAAGCGATCGATAGGAACAAAAACAGCCAGCAAGACGAACAACTTGACCCTTGTATGTGTAGAACATTACGTGGCGGGGGACGGGCCATTGCTTGGTCAGCTTCGGGGGGGGGAGGGGAGAGAAGTCTTCATACGGTGTCATTGAAGGGAGGGAACGAAGAGGAGGAGGATGGAAAAGAGGAGGAGGAGGAAGAGGAGGGGGAGGAGGGTGCAAAGAGGAGGAGGAGGAGGAGGGGGGGGAGGAGGAGGAGGAGGAGGAGGAAGAGGGAGGAGCATGAGGAAGAGGGGGGAGCAGGAGGAGGAAGAGGATTGCGCGGGGGCTGGCATCGAAAAGAGTACACTCCCCAGTGCCGAAGACGGAGGTCCGGGAGCGCACCTTCGTCGGGCCTCCCACCGTGCAGTACCAGGAGCAGATCGTCGAGGTGCCGCAGGTCCCCCATCACCCAGGAGGGAGAAGCACACACAGACACAAGTCGTCGTCGCTTCCCCAGAAAGCATTGGAAAATATGGGAATTGGGGGGAAGACAAAAACCCAGAATATATGGGAACATATGGGGAATCCTGTTATGTGTGTCTATTTATCTGTGTGTCCCAAGGCCTCTTCACTCACCCCAGCCCTTGTGATGTTCCGACCTACTTTAGCCTTGATCATCAGGAAGAATTTCGAGCACCAGGAAAGCACCCAAAAACTCTAGGGTTTTCACGTGTCGGGCCCTGGGAGACACTGTTTCGACACTCTTTCGATACTTTTCCGGGTGCTCGAGATTATTTCTGGGATGTGGTCATTAAGTAGGATGGGAGCAACATAACCCGACCCCTGATTCTTCCTTGTTCCTATTTCCTCCCCCCACAGGATTCATTTCGACGCCTCCGACTCGGCTCGATTCGATTTCGATGGCCTCCGATTCCGATTCGATTCGGCTTCGGATTCCGTTTTGGGCTCCGATCTCTCTCAACGGAGGCCCACTGACCTGCCGATCCCTGCCGATTCGGCTTGTCCCGACTCGGCTGTCGATTTCTTTTCCGATCCGATTCATTTCGATCGCCGATCCGACTGATCGATTCGGTTCTGGGGGCGCCTGGCACCACGTGGGCTCGGCCCTCCCTCGAAGAAAACGGGCCTCAGCATAGGGACGCCCGCGCGGATCTCTTGCGTCGGCGCCTCCGGTGCCGCCCCCGGCACGCTCCTCGCGCCAGGCACGGGAGGATCCAGCGCCGATCCCAGAAATCCCCGCGGGCTTCCGAACGCGTATGCGCTCACGCAGCTTTTCGCTCCGCTGGGCTCCGCCCCTCCCTCCTTTGTCCGCATCCCCTGAAGCTCGCACCCTTCACCCCCCCCGCCACCTCTTTCCCCTTCGAATCCCCCCCTCCTTAGGTGTTCGATCGTGGGCCCCTGTTGACCGCAGACGTCTTGCTTTCAAGCCGAGAGCCGCCGAAGACCGCCGGAAACCAACGAAATCGCCGAAGACCGCCAGAAGACCGTCAGAAGAACGCAGAACACCGCCGAAGATTGCCGAAGACCGCCAGAAGACTGGCGAGGACCGCGGAGGACCGCCTGGAAGACCACCCAGGGCCGGTGGGTAACCAGGGGCCTATTGTCGAATACGTAACCTTCTTGTCGCGTCCCGTTCCTCCCCCTTCTCCCGTGGCCATCTTGGCTCAAGCCACCGGCGGCACAAGTCGTTAGGCCTCCCGCCCCCTCCCTGAGGGAGGCGCCGCCATGGCGGGGCCGTCGCCTGCCGCATGAGCAGCAGGGCCAGTCCGGCCAGCTGCAGAGTGGGGTTGAGTCCCGTCGAGCAGGAACAGGTGGATAGGTGCACTATTGTTTTGTCTCGACGCGCGATGCCACTGCACAGTTAATTCGATTGTGACGCCCAGGGACCTGCGTACCGTGGGACGAAGTATGATCGAGTTTCTGCGAGCCGAGTGGAAGAACGTCAGACGGCGGCGTCTCTCATTTACCCCGCGCATTCCTACGTGACCGCCGTACCTGCGATTCCGAGTGCGTTCCCGTAGTCCGTGTGTGGTGCTAAGTTGCTAGCAGTTGTTATTGGTGTAGTTGAACACACATTTCTAAACACAGTTGTTGTTGATCCCCCCTCTGGCAACCTGTGAAATATTCCATTGAGATGCCCCTCCCGGACTTCGCACTCTCGTTTCTTACAAGGGGAAGTATTGCGCCTCAGAATGGCCCCCTGGCCCCCGAACCACAACAACAACGGCTCCCGCCTGACACTTCTTCACCATGTATTGTAGAATAGCGCACCCGCTCGAGGCCTCCATGCAATGTATCCGGAAACCACGTTCTCGCCTGAGACTTCCATACAATGCATTAACACATCGCTCTGACATCGCGCTATCGTTCGGGATGTTCCTCATCATGTATTCAACTTCCTTGCCATCTCATCTTGCTAAGCCCTCTCGCTCACTCCTCCCGTCCTCCGTCTCTCCTTTACTCTTGCCCCCTTCCCTCCTCTCTCATTCCCCCCACTCCCTTCCTCCTCGCTCTCTCTCTTTCTCTTTTCCATTACTCATGTTTTTCCTGTTTTGGGGACTGCGCCAATTACATGTGCCAGGGAAGGGAGCTATCCGCCCCAAGGGGGTACAATCAAAGACGAGGTGGGCGGGTATCGAGGATTTGGGAGATACATGCTGGTTGATATGCGAGGCCTTTGAGAGCGTTCAGTCTCAACAGTGTTGTTGTATGTTTTGGTGTTGCTGTTGTTGCTGTTGGTTTTATTGTTGGTGTGTTTGTTTGTTGTTGTTGTTAAGGTTATTGCTGTTGAGGTCGTTGTTGTTGGTGATGTTGTTGCTGCTGTTGTTGTTGCTTTTGAATTCTCACTTCTGAAGAATACTTAATTATTGTTGATCCCCTTCAGTAAACATTGTACGTGTTCAATTGAAGTGCCCTCCCAGGGTTCGCACCCTGTTTACAATCAGGGAACGTGTGGTGTCACCAAACTGCGCCCCTGGCCTCCGAAGTACAACAACAACGCCTCCCGCTTGTTACTTCCTCACTGTGTATTTCAAAATCGCGCTCTCGCGCGGTCTTTTCTCACGGTGTATGCAGGACTCGCCCTCTCGCGTGGGACTCCCTCGCAATATTGTCAAGCGCCGCCCCCTCGACATTCAGGAATCACGCTCTCGCTTGCGACTTTCTCACGACTTACTTGGGAGTCGCGCTATCGCTCGAGACTTCCGCTCGATTCACGCGGGATGCACGCTTCGGCAACCCGCGTGCTCGA